ATTTCGCTGGAATGGTCCCGCTATCCTTCGGAGGTGTGAATTCCGCCTGTCGATTGGCATATCCTCGTCAATTCCTTCAACTTCTACCACTCGGCTTCCTGCTTTCACTCCCCTCGACGCCTCGCTCTTCTCGCTCAACACACGTCGGAACCTTTACCACCTTCCCCTTCGCAATCATCTGGGCCCCTTGTACGTATTTGCGACAGCTCTGTCTATGCCTCAGTATAACCAGCGCATACTTAATCAGCAACGTTAACAGCGATACCGACATCAGCGTCAATAGCAAAATCGCCATCCCCGATACGAAAACCATGATTGATAGCACCCTCAGCGACAGCACCCGTCCCAAGCCCTCTACTAGCGGCTCCCAGAACAACTCATCCCGACGAGGTTCCGGAATGTCAGTCTGACTCTCCCGCCATTGCAGGGTAATGCTATTCCAGTCGGTACATTGCCCTCTGTGGAAGCGTTGTTGATGTATGCGGCCAATGGTACAAATCGTGGGTGATCGCTTCGATAGTTACGCTGAGATGATGCTGACAGTGATCTTCGATCTTCTCTGGACCAGCGTCAGTCCCAGCAGTAGCCGAAGGGATACCACCTATCTTCGAGTAGGGGTTATCGTCAGTGACGGAAATTCCGGGTTCGCAACCATTGTTCGATCATGGACATTGGCCGAGAACTCTGTATCGTTATGGTCTCTTATTTATTCCCTTCCCCTTGTCCGTTAGTCTCATTATTTACCCAAGTTGTCACTGGGTGCAGGATTGCATAAGTTTTGAGAGTTATGCGAGACTGATGCTGAGCCTTATGCGGAGAGATCCTAGCGTGAGTGCCGGAACAAAGGCAAGAGTTATTTCATACCAAAAACGGACAGAAATGGGATAGAAAAGCCAGGTTTGGACTTTCTATCAAATTTCTTTCTCATATGGACCGAATTTGGTTCAAATATCTCTTGCATGGGTCACAAGAATCACGGTAAATTCTCCCTGCATAAGTTTTCACGTCAATCTTACATTTCTCCCGAAACTTACGGGTTCTTGCACCCAGTGTGTCGAGACCGTACTCTTTCAACCCATCCCTGCTTCGCCAAGACATTCGATTTCCCCTTGATCTCATCAGTTCATGCGCATTTCTAGACTTCCTCCCATCGTATATATCGCGAAACCTAGACATTTCGGACTCCAGAATTGCCGTGGACCGTTCATTATTCTGGGTTAGCTCCGAGTGGCAATTAGCGCTCACCCGGTTCCACATGACGCCACATCAACAAGTATGTTCATTGTCTTTAAAACCCCATTGAGTCTCTTACACGGTCTATTATTCCATAGTAATGGTTGTTCCAAGCGTTATTCAGTGGTATAAAGGGCAATTAACACGATTAGGACGTATCGTGTCTTTCCCTCCCGCTTCTGTCTCCACTAACTGCTCGTTATAAGATTTCAAAGTTACTTTCGATATGGAACAACCCGTACGCCTCGTTCAAACACGTCCTTCGTTAACATTCACCAGTGTCACGACACCTCAAATCCACGTTCGTCTCCGCCTAACCCGCGAGCAAAAACGCGCTCTAGCTCTCCAAGCCGAACAAGCCCGCATCCTAACGCTCCTACGGGATCCCCTCAGCGATCCACTCAAACTCGGGCCCAATCGAGCGGCGTGTATCCCTTGTGGTGGACGCGTCGCGCTTTCAAAGGGGAGGTTCAGGTTGGATGAGTGGGAGAAGCATAAGGAGGAGTGTTTTATGGCCGTTTTGGCGCAGGAGGAGTTGGATAAGGGGAGAGTGTTGGCGCCTTGGCTGGCTACTGCGACGCGTTGGGTGAGTGGTTTCAGAACTCCCCTGCGCTTGCTTCGGTCGAATCCTAATCCTGATTTCGTTGTGGATCATGGTGTAGGAGGAAGATGTGGCTGTCGATCTCGGGGAGAGGTTCTGTCAGAGGGGGTTGTTCGATCCGACGATGCGTTCAGCCTTTCGTAAACTTGGCTTTGGGTATGGTGGCAGGCCTTGCAAAACGAAGTCGCAAGAAGAATCCACCTCCAGCTCTGGGTCGACCTCGAGGGCGAGGCAGCCTTCTCAGTCTAGCGCCCCGACGCGTCTTGTAGACGCACTCTTGAAAATCGAAGTTCCAAGCGATGTGAAGGATCCATTGAGAGTTCCGAGACCTTCCACCCCGTTACCTTCGATCTCATCTGTCGCGAAGGCACTGAAGATGACTCCTATATTTGGCAAGACATCACAAAAGAGGCGAGTTTCGGCGTGTATTCTCAAACAACATATTTTGACTGGCGGGTAGTCTTAGCATGGCCATCAGCTCGGATAGGCCCGAGAAACCTCATGGCTTGACCTCCAAATTCTCAGTATTGCACGGTGGCCATCCACTCTCCCGCTTCAAGGCACGGCGGGATCGTGATGGTGATGCCGAAATTCTGCACAAACAGGCACTGACGAGGGTTAAGTCGAGCCCAGACGGCTGGTACAGTGCCGCGTCTGACACTGACAGGTAGAGTCTTTTCCTCTTCTCCGGAGACCGGGCGTGGCTGACCTCCACTTATTTGTTCTGGTGATTCTTCCAGTGACGAAGGTAGTACCTCTGCTGAACGTTCAGCTTCGTGGATCAAGAAGATCCCTACCAAGTTCGGGAGTGCTCTGCCTACCTTCGATGAATTGAAGGCAGTGACAAATGAAGGACCCAAAGTTGCCTTGGTGAAGACTGATACGATTTGAAGTTCCCATGAAATCGTTTCTTTGCTCAACGGATTATGTCGACTGACCATACCTACTCTAGCTATATTGTTATAGTATATTAGATACTGCAAGCGCCTATCATACTTATATACATATCAACAGAAGATCCTACGCTTTCAAAGCAATACGTGACCCCAACCACTCCTCCGGGCATATCTGATAGCCCTCTTCCGCAAACTCCCTTCCCTGAAGTGCACCACAACAACTCCTGATCCCGACCCAGAAAAGATCCTTAGATATCTGAATCATCACAACGTTCTCCCTGAGCTCCTTCAACGAACTCTCCGAAAGACACACAGTCCGAATCTGCGGCCTGAGCATAATCGCCTCACATAGCCACACGAGATCGGCAGCGTCCTGAGTATCGATCGACAATGTTTTCAGGTGCGACCACTGTGATTTCGATGCCGAGCAGTCGAGTCCTAGAGGCTCGGGTTGTGCGTTGACCAATCGAATCTCCTCAATCCGACCGAAACTCAACTCGTCGAAGTAGTCCGTATCTAGGAAGAAGGACGGTCCCATGTTATGGATGCACACCGTGCACAAGGCTGGGAGGGAAGATGGAGGAGGAAGAATATTGCCGAAGTCGACGAGGAGTTTCCCGACGTCCACCTCTAGATATTCAAGGCTCGGGGCTACTATCCTGGAGAGAACGTACGCGTAATCTCCTTCCACTAAATCATCGAATGTACCGAGTTCAAAAGTGAGGGTGAGAGAGCGAAGCGACAGCAACGGAACGGATGCTTTCGATTGGTGAACGACGGTGAAGACAGGAGTGGGTATGTGGAGATTTCGTAGTTTAAGTTCCTCGAGGTTAGGACAATCCCCTGCAATTTCGCGAAAGACGGCTTCGTTCAGCATGACGTTGCACATCTCGAGGTACGTCAATCGAACGAGGGGTCTCTCCGTAACAGCACCCAGGACTGTAACCCTCCGAAGATTAGGGGCTGACCAGAAGAAACAACTCCAGCCGACAGGTTCTGATCGCATTGATACTCGGCGGGCTGGGGTGCAGGAGTTCTTGGTATGGTGAATCTCGATTTCTTCGAGGATGGGTGCGTCGACGTATTTGAGGGGGTCAAAGAGTATGGCAAGGTCGAGAGTGACTTCGTCGAAGGCAGTGATCGAGACTCGCTTTAGCCTCGAAGCGTGGGGTATTAGTGATTTCAGCAGGCCGTGAAATTGGTAAATCTCTTTGTGGATGTCTTCCTCCAGTTGGATATTGAGCTGGACTAGATATGGATGTGAGCGTTCAAGCCAGGCCTGTAGCCACTTTGAGCTATTGTATCCCCGTTCGTAAAGGGCCTTGAATGGGACTCGAATCTCCTTGTAGAGACTAGGGGTCTTGGCGATAATATTCCAGCGCCGGTTGACTTGGGAACAGAAGAAGAGGCTGGTGGGAGGCGTATCACGATGGAGTCGGTCTGTGGCATCGAGAGAAGCGGTCTCCTCTAGAATCTGAATGAGTATCTCTGGGGGTATCCTATCCATGGACGTATAAGAGGAGATGATGGTGGTCATGGCGTAGGGTGGAATGAGGGGCTAGCTCCTGAGAGGTATCCCTCCAGTGCTCCGCAAGTGACACGGCCACATGTCATCCTGAGGGCGCGTGGAGAAGCCATGAGAGTAGGTAAGCCACCTCCAGCTCGTGCAGACATCGTGTATTCTGAACTTTCCCAGTCGAATGTACTTTTTTGAAGACACACCTCGCTAAATTCAACGTATTTGAAGCGAAGCTTGCTGATGCTGTAACGTAGAGTTCTTGTGGCATTGATGCGAGTAAATGTTTCGGGGACTGATCGTTGAAAATGCATTATCCGCTGAACGAGCGAGTTGGCAGGAACAACTCATGAGTGAGAAGGTGTTAGTCTTGTCGTGCGCCGATTCCAATCGAAATTTGAATTCCTCCGGCGATTGCCGGTTACCATGCCTACTATCCACTCACTCGATGAGGCAATCCTCTTCTTGACCTTGACCTCGGCTCAAATGGCGAAAATCCTTAGCTTCAACCATTTCTACCCTAACGCCTGTCTTTCTTGACTTGGCTACTTCGTCAATAATTGATTCCGTGGCGCAATAATGCTGTTTCTCGTTGCTTTCCCTAACGGGCCATTCGCTTAGCGTTGGAGTCTGCTGTTCAAATTCCTGCGCAATGATTCTTCCCTCCTCCAAACTCCAGTAGACCCTTGAACGATGAGGAACCGCGACGAAAACCTCTGCCTTGGATTCGTTCTCAGAATGATTGCGTTGAGCTGGGCACATGGTGTAGGGGTTATCACATTCGATTTGCATACGGCCTTGCGAAAGGTCTTCGGTTCAATTCCGGATGTGTCCATTTTTGAACGGAGACTTGACGGAGTTCTGCCTTTTCTTCTGGCTTGTCGGACACACTGGGATATCAGGGTCATATTCGCCACATAAATGCTCGCATCAAGTCTAAGCGTTTGTTGTTGGTCAAAGTTGGTGATCGAGTTCCTATTTTAGGAGGAGTGCCACAGTGGCACCGCCCCAGCGACACTGAGCCACTCGCAAAGCGTACTTAAGCCAGCAAACGCCCAACTCTTCCCGCCACTGGTGTTATTCAGATAATCCCCGAACGCTCCTACGCCTCCATTTTCCTGTAATCCTCGAACTATGCCTACTCCCTCAAGCGCCCACAAGCTTCTTTGGCCTCAAACTTACCTCCCTCACCAGCATTCCACAATTCCTCAGAAGAATACAACGGAGATGAACCGCGAAACACTCATTGCCGTTCTGGAATACATGTCATCTCTGCTTGAGGTCGAGTTTCGGGGCATCACCGTTCGACTAGTTGCTCATGGTGGCGCCTGCATGCTCCTGCATCCCGGCCTCTACGACCTCGCACAACGCAAGCAAACATACCATATCATGCGAGGTGAAGCAGCACACATGCGCAAGACGACAAGAGACGTCGATTACATCCGAAGGGGATTCATCCAGGAATACGTCGGCAAATTCAAGATTCCGGATGCTGAACAGAGATTACAGAGGTGCATCTTGGGAACTGCTGCGAGGTTTGGGCTGGGATCGGATTGGATGAACGCTGATGCGGATGTGGCGTTGCCTATGGCAAGAAGGTGTGTTTCTTTTCTTCAAGACTAGGATGGAGGGTTCTGATGCTTCGAGCACATCCTAGTCAGACTGGAGCACCCATCGATCCTATATATTACTCGTCTACGCAGCAAAACAACGTCAACCTGTACACCGTTTTCACCTCAAAGAACAGAAAGCTCACCATTGTCAGTGTGACACCGGCTTGGGCGGTTGCGTTCAAGCTCGCACGATACGCAAAGCTCGATCCACCCGATATTTGCCTCCTCTTAATGTGAGTATTATTCATGCCCCGTCAGGTTCGTGTTGCTTATCGCGTTTCAGGAATGGCACAAAGCTTGCCAAAACTAGATGGACCCTCGAGGTTGTTTGGACGTGGATAACAAAGGAATGCTCAGCCATGGGATATGCCTACTGGGATCAAGCAAGGCTAATGCAAATGCGAAGCAGAATAGAGCATGCTATCCTGCTGGTCAACTCAATCACGATGCCTCCTTGAAAGGATTTTCGGACGCTCCGAATTGGTGCTCAGATGGACCTGGCTCTCTGCCTGTGATTTCTATTGACCCCAGCTATCTATTCGATGCAACGTAACGCCCAAGCTGCGTCTTGGGCTTCAATTTCTTGTTCAATGCCCCAGGCTGTTCTATTTTCCTTCTGTCGAAATGCATCCATGTCCTGCTGTTATAAAAACATAATGGTCACACACTCACATCAGACACGGATCCTCGCGTCTATAGCAAGTCCAAAGGAATTGAGGACGAGACTCGCTAATCGTTAGGTCCACGCAGATACTTGTGCAGGGCGCGTTAGGGCGCGTCTACATAATCGTCAGGTGACCGCGTAAGACAGTAGCGGAGTTTCAATTATTATTTTTCTCCAAATCCCGTCAGTCTATCAGACCTCGACGTTACTTGGACGCAGGCTATCGCGGTCTCTACCGACTACGGCCGCATTTCACTACCGGAACTAGGCACATAATATTCAGAGCGCACGCTTCAACACCTACGAAACAGTCCCTATCCATGACAATTGTCAATAATCACGCTGTTCGTATCATTTCATCCCGAAATCATCGTTGGTCATCAGTCACCGAGCAGTTTACTTCGCGAAATAGATATCCCCGGTTTCGCCGCAGAAGCTTCAGCAGTCTATGAGCAAACTGGTCCAAACCCCAATCGTGAGTACTCACCCGACGTTATTTGCTCCTGGGTTCTCCAAGAAACTGGTGCATCGTCATTAACAGGCCAAATGTGGGCCAGTCAAATCGACTCACATATACCCTCTGTTACTCTTCACTCCCAGGTTATCTTCCAGATACTTCGTGAAATTTTCGACCACCTTCTTATTCATCCCTGGGTTTCCGACTGTGATAGCGAACTGGGAACGGCCGCCGGCCGATGAGTTTCCCGGAGAGTTCTCGGTAGGAATGTAGGGTGCTCACGAGGGTGCACATGAACGCAGGCTCGAAGGTACCAGCAAAGCTCAGCTTCTCTTCTTGGCGCAAATGTACACCAAAAAGGGCCTCGGGCGTGCTCATAGTCTCAGCCGCAAGCTTCGAGGAACTTTGGTAAGTTCATGTTACTCCGAAATTGATTCGAGATACCTCACCTTCGATAGTCCAACAATGAAAGCCTTCTCGTCGTTAACCTGGGAAAACGACCGTCTTCATAAGAAGCTATCGATGAGAAAACACGAGATTCACTTTGACGTTCGTTTCTACTCTGATCAACGGCATGGTTCAATAAGGTTCGAGACGAGGGTTTTATTGAGGAACCTGTTGGAGGCTTCATTTTATACGGAAACGGACTTGGAAAGCGATAGGTCATATGGCCGCTTTATTGACACAGGTGACGCAGTCCGGTGTCGTCGAAGACTCGGTTAATGGTTCAACCGGATTGACACTATCTCAAATCATGGGAACATTCTAAGTCTCGTTTGCGTGGGCAAGTCTCATCACAACATCATCATATCTCTCTTCGACGATGCCTTCACCCTTGGTTTGGATGATTACAGGTACGATGTACAATCGCCCGGTCCAGAGAAAGTTATTGATCTCTTGGGACTAGGGACTTCGTCCGGCCTCGGAAAACGATTAGTTCTTGCTGCGCTCGATCGTGGCGACTACGTGATAGCTACTGCTCGTTCCCTTTCTTCCATTGAATCACCACATTTTCTTCCCTCGACAGATCGGCTGAAGTTTCTCGAGTTAGATATGACTTGGGACCTGACGAGAATGGAGCGTGCGGTAGAGAATGCGCTCCGATTCTACGGCCGAATCGACGTTCTGGTCAACAGTGCGGGCTGGGTATTCAAATCCCTTATCGAAGACTGCGGTGTGGACGAATTCAAAGAACAGTTCGATTGCAATTTCTTCGGGATTGTGCAGTTGACAAAACTGGTCCTTCCGCAGATGAGAGAAAGAAGAGAGGGGTTTGTAGTTATGATTGGAAGCCGAACCAGCTGGATCCCTGAGCTACCAGTGAGATGACTTCGATCTTCAAACTATGCTGATCCATTACCGACTGATGTTAGTCAACAGGTGCGCTAAATTTCTCGTTGCCACCATTGAGCGCCACTCAAGAAGTCTAGCGCTGTACGCTGCTTCAAAAGCTGCTTTGCGAGGTATGAAAATCCACACATCGCAAATCCATTCCGTCTTCTAATATGAATGTAACAGCTTATAGTGAAACTCTGGCCTCCGAGGTTGAGCAGTTTTCCATACGCGTGCTAATTGTAGAGCCGGGGGCACTGCGTACCGAGGGAATCGTCTCAGCTCGACACTATATCCCTGTTGGGGTCATTCCAGAGTACCAAGAGGTCCGTAATCGGGTTGAATCACATTTTAGGGACGGCGTCGAAGGGAAGCAGCGTGGAGATCCACAGAGAGCGGCATCGGTTATCGTAGACGTGGTAAGAGGTGAAGGGAAATCTGCTGGACGACCATGGCCATTGTATTTACCTTTGGGTGTTGACGGCGTCGATGGGGTGAAGGACAAGTGCCAGAAGATGTTGCACATTGTCGATGAGTGGAAGGATGTTGCAGAAAGCATAGACATTTCTTGAGATCCCGCGGAGTAAGTTAATCTCACAGAGCTCGGTGACCATGTCGAAGCGTCTAACAAATTATCATTACAGGTCATTGCTAATAATACATATCGTGTATGGTTCTAATGCTCTGAGAATGTGGAGGTTGCTTGCGAAAAATCAGCACAACTTAGAGATTGAGTATGCGTATGCACCCACTTTTACATAACAGGATCCTGGGTTGGCTTCGTATCGCCGTGTGCAGCTCCTTTCTTCACGTCGAATTCTAGTTCATGACATTCATTATCGAGTTCGTGAATCGCGAAGTTAGAATCGACCATTACTCACCTGCAGGATCCCTGCTTGCGACAGCGGCTCGAGTAGCAGCTCCGGGCTCATTGGTACCTTGAGCGATTCTTTGTTTCTCCGCTTGCTCGAGCTTGTTCACGTCGACCTGTTGAACGGCGTCTTTGGGGAGCTGGTTAACAGGTTCGTTTCCGACAAAGGTTTGTTGAGTCATGGTATAGAGGATGCGTCGAGATAGATTGTTGTGAGTCTGAATATCTTATATCGAGGCTTGAGGGTTTATATACCAGCCTTAACTCTGTAAGTTGGTTGTTGATGTCAGGTATGATACATCTCTAAAGAATGTGATGGAAGATTCGCTCATACGGTTCCACAAGACGTAAGAAATCTGGAAGTTTCTGCACAGTGCGGGGCATTGATCAAGCGATATGATACAAATGAGCGCCTGCCAAGCATGAATTGTACTATCCTTCTTGAAAAGTATGTGAAGGGCGAGTTTAGAGTGCTACGCAATAAAATTATACGATAAATAGCTTTCAACCTCCAAGACTTTGAGTCTCTAGAACGATGGTCAATAATGTCGAGCTTTCGAGAGAAGCCGTCAATCACTCACCTGGGTCGCCACAATTAACGATTACATTCTCGCTTGAAATGCCGTTGGAGCAACTCTGGAATATATGTGCTCCGAGGTGGCGGACTTGTGGGGTAGCTCCATCACGGCTTCCTCGACCAGACTCACTACGTCTGCCGCACAACCAAAGCATAAACTCCATCCAGCACCGCCGTGACCATACGAGTGAACAATTCGACTGGGAGGGCGCCCAGTAGCAAGAGTTCTGTGCTCTCGCTCGACTCGAATGTTTCTTCCGCGGAACGGACGTAAACCCTGGGCTATGGGGTACTCGGGGTCGATGCGGGCGTTCCTCAGCT